CCATAGAAGGTACAGGACAGATCTAAATCGGCGGGCCGTCTCAGAAGCGTACACCATGGCTTTTGCAAACTGGAATTGACACTGATTCGAATACATCAGGTACTGCTGTCTTCCCGGGATATGTGCAGCCTCCAGCCAGTGAGAAACTATGGGTGCTGGCATACTGAGACCGCTACAGGCTACCTAAGGCTTTCTGATCACAAGCTTGCAGAAAAAAAAAAACAAGATCCATACCACTCCTCGAATGATTCTCTGCCTATTATTTTGCTGGATATTTTGTAAAGGGAATTCCAAACATGGCAGAGGATGATGGGGGTTGTCCGCGTCTGCTTATGTCCATTATCACCGGTATGTTATCGGGTACTCTATAGACAGGGCTTGAAAAATTTTAATTTTAAAGCTCCCGGCCGGCCGGGAAAGCTACTCGTCGGGCTCCGGCGTCCTCTCGTCATAGACGAGAGGATGAGTGGATTTTTCAAGCCCTGTCTATAGATTATGCCAGGGATGCTCTCGTTGATCTTATTGCTAGCAAAATGTAAAACTAGACTCATGACTAGAACGTGTAGCGTTACTCCATGTACATTGACAGACTTCTGGATTCCTCATAAAAGCTGCCTACCCAGAACTGACATTTCCCCGATGGGTGGGCCATAGCAGGCGGAGTTACCCATTGCCTTCTCTTACCTCTTTGGAAATATGGTGGTAGAGTCATACAAGAGTAAGGCCGGGTGTACACGCTTCCAATTTCTGCTGGTTCTAGATGAACCAGACAAATTTCGCTGCATGGGTGCCGCTGTGGGCACCCTTCTGCCCGGCGTCCCTTGATCAGCTGATCGAAAGGAACCGGTTGGAAATGTGTCGGCCGAACGAAGTTATCAGCTGCAAGCTCCATTCGGGTATTCTGACAGTGGCCACAGCGGGAGATACGTCCAGTAACGCTCGTAAGCGTTGATGGAAGAATCTGTTCTATTTTTTGTTCAGCCCGCTGGTTGAAAGAAAATGATAGAACTGTGTTGGTTCTAGAGGAGAAAGCGTGTGGGTAGATGTAATCAAAGACTCACCCATATATTGTAGCATATATTGTAGCATATATTGTATATCTTAATTTATGATGAGTTTATATCAAGGTAGATTGGAGTTGGTTAGGTTTAGCAATGTCATTTTACGTGCAGTTGGTATATCGACAATGGTTAACAGCCCATATTTGTTCATGGTTAATAATAGAGCTCAATGTAAATATTCTGTTAGGAGCTGAAACAAGACATACAGTATAAGTTAGAAACAATAGTTGCTTCAATATCTAAGAGACAAAACAGGAAGTGAGTAGAAATACTTCCAAAGCGAGGGGGATAGTCCCTCTTAGGTAGTTGTCACCATTGAAACTTTCCCTTCCTCCCACAATCTGCACCTCACCCTTGGGTACAGTTTCCCACTTCTAGTTATATTTAAACTGACACTCAGGACATGTCGGGTGCTTTCCGTCCGACGACCCGAATCACCAGTAGGTGATCTGCGCTACTGTGCGATCATTGTCCAGCATCTCTGGGCATTCAGTGCCAATATTCAGGCTCATATAAAAAGGGAAGTATTGACCCGGAAACGCGTTGGCTGTTTTACTTTTTTGCTGTGTACTGATAAACTCTTGCTCGACTTATTCAAGCCATTAGGTGCTCACATGCTTCGTATACACTATCACTACTTCAGGGACCCTCAAGGAGACCCCAGTTGCCTGAGAGCTGCCTCATATAGTTTGACTTCCTCCTACTATTCAGTTACCTGTGGGGTCCAGCACTCCACAAACACTTTTTCTGTTCATATGTCATATGACAGAGATAGCTGGCTGGGTTCAAAGACCGGGAAAGGTATGTGACATTTTGAGCAGTTTTATATTTTTTTTTTGCAATGAGGAAGTCTGGTAAATGTGTAAGTAATGTGTGGAAGTAAATTCTAGTACGGAGGGGCTGGTAATCTCCTGCAGTAGAGGATGTGGGATCACAAGTAGCTTGTTGTGGTTAGTGAAGAGGATTATGAAAGTGATAAGTGGCTCTGTGGCTAAGCATTAAAGTTTTACAAGATTGCAATGTTGAGAAAGCAAAACATTTAAGATATTCCTTACTGTGTACCCCATGGATCCAACATACGCATGCCTCGCTTCTACCAGAGAACTGAACTATCCTGGAGATGATGTTCTGGAGGGGGAAATTCTGGTGTCTTTTTTATACAGAGTTTACTACATGTATTATGGACCATATTTACAATAGATGCTGTTCTTCGAAGTACCATGGACCATGTTTACTATGGATGCTGGTCCTTGATGTACCATGGACAATGTTTTCTATGGATGCTGCTCCTTGATGCACCATGGACCATGTTTACTATGTGTGCTGCTCCTTGATGCATCATGGACCATGTTTACTATGGATGCTGCTCCTTAATGTACCATGGACCATGTTCACTATAGATGCTGCTCCTTGATGTACCATGGACCATGCTTAGAATAGATGCTGCTCCTTGATGTACCATGTTTACAATGGATGCTGCTCCTTGATGTACCATGTTTACTATGGATGCTGCTCCTTGATGTACCATGGACCATGTTCACTATGGATGCTGCTCCTTGATGTACCATGGACCATGTTCACTATAGATGCTGCTCCTTGATGCACCATGTTTACTATGGATGCTGGTCCTTGATGTACCATGGACAATGTTTACTATGGATGCTGCTCCTTGATGTACCATGTAGAGCTGCAACAGTTAATCGATTTAGTCGATTAAAATCGACGATTGAAAACGTTGCCTTGTACCATGGACCATGTTCACTATAGATGCTGCTCCTTGATGTACCATGGACCATGTTCACTATAGATGCTGCTCCTTGATGTACCATGGACCATGCTTAGAATAGATGCTGCTCCTTGATGTACCATGTTTACAATGGATGCTGCTCCTTGATGTACCATGGACCATGTTCACTATGGATGCTGCTCCTTGATGTACCATGGACCATGTTCACTATGGATGCTGCTCCTTGATGTACCATGTTTACAATGGATGCTGCTCCTTGATGTACCATGTTTACAATGGATGCTGCTCCTTGATCTACCATGGACCATGTTCACTATGGATGCTGCTCCTTGATGTACCATGGACCATGTTTACAATGGATGCTGCTCCTTGATGTACCATGGACCATGTTTCACACCTGTTAAAGTTCTTCCCACTCTCCTTAATCACACGACTACCCCTTTAATTTTCTGACAGTTTTGTTATAGGTGAAGGATTGCTCCTTTCTTATTTTCTTGAACCAGCGCAGCGGGAATGATTATCGTATAATTTTCCTTTATGTCCCCATACCATTCTGTAGGTTCACATACTGTTCATGTTATGTTAATTGTGATACACGTTAGTCCTCTATTATATGTCTGTATTGCATATTGATGAATGCCAACTAAGGGTTGACCTATATGGATTTTTCAGTACCGATACCGATTATGGACCACCTTTCAGGTGTACCGATATTCTGTTAACATCCAACCGCCATCAGGGTAAAGAAAAAAAAACAACAAATAGCATGGGAATGAATAGCTGGCCTGCTATTGGCTATTTCAAATTGTAATAGCCAATAGCAGGCTGGCTATTGCACCCGCCCACTGCTGCTGTCAATCAGCAGTGGAGGACCTGAAGGAGAGGCTAATGCTTCCCCTGCTATCTGCTGTTTTTTTTTCTCTGTATTCTGTGGCCACTGTCAAAATACTTAAACAGGGCTGGCAGCTAAATGGCTGCCGACTTCTGACAGGCACCTTCAGACCATCTGATAGAGGGAAGCCGGCCTAGAGAGTAGCATCCACTGTGAAAATTTCAGCCAGCTCTGGTCGTACATTACCAGCGATTTTGAGCGACATTTTCGCGCTACAGAAGTGTCACTTTTGCACAGAAATATAAGCAGGAAACAAGAAGAGGAATTATGTCACATCAAGACCGCTTTTGGTTGGATACAGCCCAATGTAGCAGCAATGAAAGCCCATGCCAAAAGTAGCGCTACGTAGCGCGACAATGTGTGCACTGTAGCTCAAAGTCGCTCAGCTGAAATCAGCGCTGGAAAAAACATTTTTTTTTATTTAGCTCAGTGTGAATGGGGGTCTGAGAGTTTAGTTTGTTTGAGAAAAAATTTCCATCCTGCGTCTTTAATTTTTTTCATCACTACAGTGAATGATGTCAGTGTGACTCCATTCATTATTAGAAATCACATGAATGTTACAGAAATGACAAAATTCTAGCAGGTGAGGTTCAGTGTGACACAGGACAACAAAAGCCGGAGTCCTGTGCTACAGCAGGTGTGCGCATAGACAGAAACAAGCTGAGGGGGGAAAGGAATGAACAGTGGTGGGTGCTGAGCTGAGTGGGAACAGAGGCCACTTGTTAGGCTGTGGCGTCAGAGAGAGTACATTTACTGTACATTCACTATTGTTCAAGACATGGCCTCGGGCAGCAGAAAGAAGGACGCCATATTCATGCTACATGCAAAGGAGCAGAGACATTAGCCCGCATCAAAGCTCAGATTGTAAGCTCTGCAGCGCAAACAGATCTTCCAGTGTCTGAGCTGGTGATGTAATGTCTGCTATGTATTATTGATTGCAGTGCACTTGCAGCACTTTGGGGGGGAGAAAAATTATCACATAAAGTTCTTCATCTCAAGTGAGATTTTCAAAGGTTGCCCTTCTCTGAATCAGCTTTATCTGTTGGCTTCAGTTGGGTTTTCTGTTTTTCTTAAATAATTCCTGAGTAAGGGATTTCATGGCCAATATCATTTATGATAATAAAATGGTGTAATAGATTAATAAACAGGTTAAAGATAATTCACCGACCAGAAAAAGAAATGAGATCTCGATGCTCAGTGCAGTGAGTCTGTGTCTAGTTTAATGTATTATTGTTACATGACATTATAATCCACATGCTATGTTGTCGTATTTGAATATTTCTTTTTTTGTGTTTTGCAGACAGTAAAGGTAGGCCGCGGTGACACAGTGCTTGCTGCTCACCATGCCGGGGATCGTTGTATTCCGCCGGCGCTGGTCTGTGGGCAGCGATGATTTGGTGCTGCCAGGAATCTTCCTTTTTGTACTACACAGCACCTGGTAAGTGATATGGTGACGTGATTCAACACACTTGATTGTCCTGATAATAATTTTGATTTAATACAAAGATTTTGTTCGTTCCCTAACCTTAACTTTAACCCTTTCACTGCCAAGCCTTTCGGAACGCTCTTAAAGGAGAACTATGGGGTTAAGGCTTTTCCCCATAGTTCTCCTTAGGGTAACGGGAGGACACTTACTAGCGTCCTCCCGTCACCCTAGGCTCAGTATACTGCGAGCTGTAGCTCGCGGTATACTGAGACGCTTAAGCGGATCCCGACAATTGTGCCGGGATCCGCCCAGCTGCGTGACTGACAGCTGGCTCTGCCTATCTAGAGGCAGAGCCAGCTGCACCCCTCCCCCGTCCGATCCGCCAGTCAGCGCTGGCGGATCGGAGCAGGGAGGGGGGAATCCAGCCCCTCCCCTGTCACGGCAGAGAGCCGTGACAAGATCGAGAGGTGAGCGAACGCCGGTATATGTTCGCTCACGTCCCGATCTAATGAGCAGATCTGTGACAGTCTCATTGTCACAGGTCGGCTAGAACTATGAGGTGAGTGAAAAGCACTCACCTCATAGTTCTCCTTTAACCTCAGCTGGCCACACCATTTTTTGCAATTTTCCCTATCATTTTGATTTTTTACTGCTGCATTGCTGGCGTTTGTAAAAGACCTCCCATATTAGGTCAAATAAAAATGTGGTGCTACTAATTTTGTAGGTCCTGCGATAATTGCGCAAATGTTTGTCAAATCAATATTAAACAGATAAAAATACACAATTAAATGGATAAAAGCACACTAAAATCAGTATCGTGTACAAAATAAATACTTTTCTGACTAAATCTAAAAGATAAAGCTGTGTTGAGTTAAGAAATAATAAATATTTGTACATTTTAAATTGCACCTTTTTTTGAAACGGTAAAATAAATGATGTAACGCAAAAGTGCAAGTAAACGACTTATGTTAAAAATCGTTAGTGTTGTGATAAAATGATACAAGTACATACAAGATACAGGTACATTTATTCGCAACACGGCGCACTGCAATGCATCACAGCGCTTTGCCACGCACTGCCACAGTTAAATTAATGTTATTTTGAAGAAATAAATAAATAAATCAAGCACTGCTGTGTTCTAACAACGCAGTGCATGTGCATGGCGTACACCACAATATGGTACACACTGTTGCACGTGTATAATATGTGGGGGGGGGGGGCTTCAGGGAAATATTAGGGGTTTTAACAGACCCCTGACATTTCCTTTTTGATATAGAAAAATAAATTGAGAGTCTTCAATCCTTTTTTTCTGCAACCTCAGCACTCGATAAATGGAAAGCACTCCGTACAGAGGCTTCCCATTCATAACTGGTGATAGTAATACATTTACTATCATCCAGTTATGAATGGGTAGAAGCCTGTATACAGAGGCTTCCAATCATTGAGAAACTCATGAATGAAGAGCAAGTGATGTAAAGCACTTCCTGTTCATTCATAACTGGGGACACATAGTACTATGTGTCCCCAGTTGTTTACAAACACTGGAGTGATCAGCTGGTCTCTAGTGTTTGTCCTGCACACAGAGGATTGGAAATATCACAGATATTTAACAATCCTCCGCTCAACCATCCGACCCGCTTGGCCACGTACCATCACAGAGCCGCCGGCAATCTAAGGATTTGATCCTTGGATTCCCTGCTGCCTCAGCCAATACTAGAGGGAGCAGCGGGGATCTGAGGAGAAATAGATCCCAGCCTGGAGCAGCTCCAGGCGTGGAGGAGAGGCTTTAGATTGCAGGGGGGGGGTTTGTTATTTGCTCTCATTTGCTATACCAGAACTGTTCTGGTATAGGTTCATGGGCACTTAAGCACAACCAAAAAAGCCACCGGCGTAAGGCTTACTGAGCTGGCCAGCTGGAAGCAGTTGTGTTCCGCTGTAAGCTTTACGTCAGTGGCAGCGAAAGGGTTGGAGTCAAAGTTTTATTAAAGGAGAACTATGAGGTAAGTGATTTTCACTCAACCTCATAGTTCGAGCCGACCTGTGACAATGAACATGAGCTGTCACACGTCGGCTCAATAGATTGGGAAGTGAGCGGACGCATACCGTCGCTCGCTCACTTCTCGATCACGTCCCTGCAGAGAGCCGTGACCGTCACTCACGACTCCCTACAGGGATTCCCCCCCTCCCCTGTCCGATCCTCCAGCGCTGACTGGCGGAACGGACGGGGGAGGGGGCGGGTACAGCTGGCTCTGACTCTAGATAGGCAGAGCCAGCTGTCACTCACGCAGCTGGGTGGATCTCGACAGTAATGTCGGGATCTGTCCCAGCTGCGGCGGTCTCAGTATACTGCGAGCTGTAGCTCACGATATTCTGAGCTTTGGGTCATTGGAGGACGCTAGTTTATGTCCTCCCGTGACCCTTAGGAGAACTATGGGGAAAAACATGGTTCTCCTTTTAAACATTTTGTTATGGAAATGGCACTAGGGACATACCTTACCTCTAATTAAATGTATTTCATGTAGGGCTGCAACAACTAATCGACATTTTGCAGTCCTCTATAGCCGGTGCCATTCTGCATGCATTGCGGTATAATTTTACACTTTCCATTTCACTATATTGCACACCACACTATCTTTTTTTCTTTTTTACTTCCACCGCTCCAAGCTTGCTCCTGTGATGGACTACAACCTCAATACAAACTAGTAGTCCTATCACTGGAGCCATTTTTTAAACTTTATTTTATAGTTTATCCGATTAACCGATTAATCGAACTTAATAATCGGCTAACTAATCGATTTTGAAAATAATCGTTAGCTGCAGCTCTAATTTCATGTAGGTTAGGTTGGACCTTTGTTCAACCTTGCCTAACTATACTGACTTTTGGAAACTTTGCTGTGATTTAAATAAATCAATGCTACAATATTGTTCTTACTGTTGTCCATGCTTGCTTCAGACCATGTTTCTTTAAAATCTTCAGAGTTCAGAATGCTGGGGGGAACTTCCGCTCTGCAAGTGCCTCCATCCTCGCTCTGTGTTCCTGCGCTCCAGTGTTAGGACTATAGAAATTAAGAACGCAGCCTGCCTGACGTGTACAGGACCGCCTACTTTTGATTGGCAGCGGCTCCCGTGTGCTGTGTGATCGGTTAAGATCTCATTCACATTGAGGTTTCTTTTTTTATGTATATGTTCTTATATATATGCAATAGCCTATAAAGCAATGTAATGTGTATGATGGCTTTAGCCTTTTTTTTTCTTCTTTTTTTAACAAGCATTATGTTTTATGTGTATTTGTATAGATTGTGGAGGTTTTATGTATGCTTTTTTTTAACAAGCATACATAACACTTGTTAAAAGAAAAAGCCTGCAGCAATGTAAACATTTTGTTGCTCTACAATCTATACACATTAAGGATAATGCTTGTTTAAACAAACAAAAAAAAAACCCCCGATGTGAATGATAGATCTCAGCCGATCACAGCACTTGCACACTGGAGCCACTGCCAATCAAAAGTTGGCGGTCCTGTACACCTCGGGCATGCTGCGTTCTTGTGTAATTCTGTAGTCCTAACACAGGAGCGCAGGAACTCAGAGGGAGGATAGATGGCACTTGCAGAACAGAAGTTCCCCCCAGCATTCTGAACTCTGAAGATTTTAAAGAAACAGGAGCCCAGATGTCGGAAGCAAGCATGGATAACATTAAGAACAATATTGTAGCATTGATTTATTTAAAAATATGTCAGGGGTTTAATATCACTTTAATGTGTTTTTAATTAAAGTATACGTTTAAAGTATATATTCTGCCAATGAAGGTAAATAGTAGAAGTCTAACTGTAATGTTTCTGCAGGAGCTCCCACTTTCTCATCCCTTGCCTAGTTGAGGATGATGTCCCCTAGTTGAGGCCTTGTCCTCTCAGCTTGGAACTGCAGCACCTACCTGCCATCACCCTGTACAGTGAGAGCACCTTACTGGGCAGCTGTTAGGGCAGGTTCATGCCATTTTCCAGACCAGATCTGGTCTGGAAAATGGCATGAACCTGCTGCATTTCTAGTGCATTCCAGATTCCAGACAAAACAAAATGAGAAATGCAGTATTTTTCTGGGCTGGTCTGGAATGGATTGCACTGGTGTGAACAGAGTCTAGAAATAGCAGAGGGATACATTGGGATGCATTTTGGGTCTGGAAACAATCTGGTCTGGTCTGGAGATGATCTGGATGTGGTGGGAATGGACCCTTAGGGCCCATTCCCACCACATCCAGATTACCACCAGACCAGACTGTTTCCTGACCCAAAATGCATCCCAATGTATCCCTCTGCTATTTCTGGCCTCTGTTCCCACCAGCATAGTCCGTTCCGGACCAGAGCAGCAAAATACTGCTTGTCCTATTTTGTCTGGTCTGGAATGCACTGGAACGCATCAAGAACGCACCTGGAACGCAGACCATTTTAAGCTAAGTTCCAATCGTGGCAAAAATGCAATGCACTATGTTCCAGATCTGGTCCGGAAAATTGTGTGAACCCAGCCTAAAAGAGGAGGTAGGGGAGGGTGGGCAGAACATATGCCACAGTTAGGTGGGGCTTGAGCATCAATTTAGGTCCATCCTAATAAAGTGAATGAAATCTGAGATGGGACATCAAGGAGCCTTTTGTGGGATAAGATAAATTGCGAAGGGTTGTTTTTGGCTCTACCCTTTGTAGTCTATTCCATTTTCTCTGGATTGTTGCAAATGTATCTATTCCACTTGGCTGTTATTTTACATGGAGAAAGTGTTAAATATTTCTGTTCTGTCCTATTGCATCCAACTTCACTTCTTCATTTTCTTATGTTGTATACTTGTTAGTGCAGGTTGGGCCAGAACTCAGGAGCCAAGGCGCCAATGCTCCTTCAAATTTATCGCTGGCACCCAACTTTTGAGCATTTCTCCAGTTGTTGTTAATGAGGTGGCTCCTAAACGCAATAATAATTTGTTCACCTCTGAATTCATTTGATATATTCTCTATTAAGAACTAGCGATGCGCCGATATATCGGCCGAAAATGGCGCTTTTGGCATAATGCCGAAAGTGCCATTTTCTGGCCGATACAGCGGTGCATCCATTCTTTCTCTCCTCCCAGCTGTGCGCTGTGCTGTGTCCCAGCGGGGAGGAGAGAATCTGTCACAGGCGGCCGAGCGCTGCGTGAGGAGAGCGTTCTGAGCGGCCGGCGTCTTTCCTCCCTGCACCGCTCAGCCTCCTGTCAAAGATCGGCAGAGCGGTGTGTGGGCGGAGACTGCCAGCGCTGTCACAGGAGGCTGAGCTCTCCTCCCCGCTCCGCTCGCTCAGCCTCCTGTGACAGCGTGTCAGGAAGGAGAGCGAGGTACAAGCAATCAGTGATCGCTGAGTGTTTGTACATAATTGAGGACAGAGTATGGTTACTATAGCCTCAGTTATGAATGAATGGGAAGTGATCTACATCACCTACTGTTCATTCATAATTGTGGTTCTAGTAAACATACTCTGTCCTCATGTTATGAATGAACAGGAACACTCAGTATAGAGGATTCCTATTCATTTATAACAGGGGCTGCAGAAAAAGAGGTTGAGGACTCTGTATTCTCAATCTCTTTTTCTATTTTAAAAGGGAAATATCAGGGGTCTGTTTAGACCCCCAATATTTCCCAGAAGCCCCTAAAAGTAAAGTAAAAAAATAAAATATTTCATAAAAAATTAATAAACAAATGTAAACAATTAAAACGTTTATAAAAAATAAATAACATTTTTTAAAACATTTGAAAAAGTTAAAATAATTTGGGTTTCGTTTCGGTTTTGAAATATTCAAGAACAGAAGAACAGAACTAATGTCTGAGGCAGACATTAGTTTGGAATGTATTCTAATGATGCAAACTAAAAACTGACTCCAAAACCAGCCATTTTGGAACTTAGTAAAAGCATTTGACCGTTACAGAAGTGAACCATTTTTTTTGCACACATCACTTGTATGTTAATGTTTAATAGCAGGGATTGTTTTCAGTGATTGGTTGCTGTAATTCTTCCATTAAAACAATTTTCTTTGTGACTTCTATATATTGCTACTGTGCTTTTTGAGTATGGTTTGTTTTACATACAGATGTATATCAGGAATGGACAAATCCCAGGAGCCAGGTAGCTAATGCTCCTTAAAAATTACAGCTGGCACCCAGCCATTGAGGTTTTCCCTAGTTGTCAACAATGGAGCTGACTCCTAAAAATAAATCCTTCTGGCTCCTGGATTGGACGGACTGGCTCCTGAATTCTATTTTAACTTGTCCAACCCCGTGCATATTGTCCCTGGAGTGCGTCTTTGTAAATCAGAATGTGCAATTAACACTCTTGCTAATAGGTTTTTAGACAGTCTGTGCAGAGTGTTCGAGAGGAACAGTAATGCACACTAAAAGCCACAGCCTATGTATATAATTAGCAGATATGGCTGCCCCATTTGTACAGAAAAAAATTAGTTCTAGTTATCAGTTTATTCAGAACTATTAACAGTTATGGGTCTGTTTATAAATGTTTTTACCCAAGATGAATACAACTTTCACCCAAGATTCACACGTTTTTTCAAATTAATCCATTGAGAAAATGTGTGAATCTTGCGTGAAAACATGTGAACAGACCCCTTAAAGTATATGTAAACCTTATTAACGAACGTCTCTTATTTGCTCCCTTTTGGTCAGTGAAATATGCAAATTAAAGACTTTTATAGCTGGTTTATAAGTACAAAAAACCTGTTGCTCTTCAGATCTGTCATGTGCTCTCTGCTTGTGTTATCCTAAAGACTCTGTTTAGCCCTCCTTGTTCTTATATTGAAGAAGAACTCTAGGAAAATAAAGATCTTACCCTTGCAGTGGGGTTTAGTGCTGGTTTTGTCTAAAGGGCTCAAATAAAGCTGTGTTACTTAACTGGTTCTCAGTCCCACGGTGGTCAGCACGCCCCTCACTCCCCCTCCGCTCCAGCTATTGAATTTTCCTAGACGTTCTCAATGGACCTGCATAAGACGTGATGATGTCAGTGGCCCTTAGACCACCGGAGCCCAGGGAAGGTTAGGCTGTGGGGATCAACCTAGCAGCCTGGAGGATCAGGTAAGTAAATCTGCTATTTTTGAGTCCCCTTGACAAAAAGAGCACTTAACTTGTTAAAAGGGAACTATGGGGTAACCTTTTTATCCCATAGTTCTCTTTAGGTCACGGGAGGATTTATACTAACGTCCTCCATTACCCAAAGCTCAGTATATAACCGGCTATTGCTCACTATATACTGAGAGCACTGCAGCTGGGACAGATCACGACACTACACGACAATACTGTTGAGATCCATCCAGTGGGCTGTGCCCGCCCCCTCCCCCATCCTTTCCTCCACTCAGTGCTGGAGGATCAGAGAGGGGAGGGGGGAAACCCTGCGAAACCCTGCGGGGGAAACCCTGCGGGAAGAGGTGACTGACATTTACCACACTCTGCAGGGAGATGAACGAGAAGTAAGCGAGCGACGCTATGTGTTTCACTCACTTCCCGATCTATAGAGTCGACGTGTGACAGTTTAATTGTCACAGGTGGGCTCTAACTATGAGGATGAGTGTAAATCACTGACCTTATAGTTCTCCTTTAAACTAGTTTAGCAAAAGATACCAGGGAGGGCTGACACCACTCAGTCTACAAAATGCTATGTGCTGTTAGCCTACAGTAGGAATTTGAATGCTGAGTGCATGTCTGGCAGAACAACAGGTATCTTTCTGTACTAACAGCGTCTTTTAAAGGGGCAAAACATGGACAGATATGTATATAATGCAGAGATGTACTGTATTTTGTGCCTCGACATACAATTGATTGAATTTTAAAGGGACCATAAACCTAAACTGCAGTTTAATATATAAGAGGTCTTGCTTCTCTACACATCTTTGTAAGTTACGTTTCAGAGCCTTATTGGAGATAAAGATAATTAAAATAGCATTTGGATTCGTATACATAACTGATTGTTCCACGGTTATTAAAAGATACTGCACTCTGACGTGTCTACTTTATGAACGTGGCATTGGCATCAGTGGATTGTCACAGGATCCTCCCAGCAATCACATGTCCATTGATACATTGTGTTAGTAACAGAGCCAACTGTTCTCAGCAAATTACATTGCCAATACGGTAGTAGCATTAATAGTTTTTTACACCATGTGGAAAGCAGACATTCCATGAAATACATGAATTACAGCTATGTAAATGCCGCGTTCTTTGTTTTCTTCCAGGTTTGTAATCCTCTCTGTGGTCCTCTTTGGTCTGACATATAACCCCCATGAAACATGTTCCTTGAACCTGGTGGATCATGGACGTGGGTACCTGGGCATTCTGCTCAGCTGCATGATCGCAGAGGTAGCCATCATCTGGCTGAGCATGAGAGGAGGAATTCTGTACACTGAGCCCAGGGACTCCATGCAGTATGTGTTATACGTGCGGCTTGGTAAGTGAGCGCTCCCTCTTTTTATTTGCCATAAGGACAGCCGAAGCAGGTTCTCACCTATATGTTCTTTATTCCTTGCAGCTATTCTGGTGATTGAGTTTGTTTACGCAATCGTGGGGATTGTCTGGCTTGCTCAGTATTACACATCCTGCAATGATGTCACAGCAAAGAATGTTACACTTGGTAAGTGAATCCCGGGATCTTGAATGGCTATTATGGCTAGTTTTTACTGATTATAGGCTCAGTTCACAAAGCTTTACAAAGATCGTTATTTTCAGCCACGTGACTCTTATTTTCAAATCTCAATAACATTAAAGCAGACCTTTACCCCCTTTCACTAAAAATCACATTAGCATGCGGCTCTGCATGCTGATATGAAATCATCTTACATTCATTAGTTAAACAAACATATTTTCTTTTACTTACAATTATGGTTTTTCCACTAAACTTCCTGATCCTCTTGGGCATTAGTGATGTAATGTGCCCAAGCATTACATCCTGAGAAAGTTACATCAGCAGAGCATTGCAGGGAAATCCCATCTGTAATCTCACTAGTTCTTGGAAAGGCATTTTCCTCCCCTGAGATGATGTCCATGGTAATATGTCCTAGTCACATGTGCCAGAGTTCAAGGAAGTAAAGGGAGATATATGAATCTGCCCTTAGTAAAAATGGCCACTGTGAGAAGACTGGGGAGGAAAAGAGAAATAAGGTATGCAAAGAATACAAAGCCAGCAATTATCTAGAAGTATCTGTTTGTAGATTGTCATTAGTTAACATTTCTAAAGACGTATTTGTTGTCATTTCAAAGGTATGGAGAAAGTTCCTTTTTAGGGCCCTTTAATGTGCTGTTCTTACACACAAGTCGGGATGCCAGAATAAATAGCATCACTGACTGTTCGCGTTGCAAAGAGAGTTCAAAAGCACATTATCCTGCATGTTAATTCAATGCAAATGGGTGGATCCAGCCTAAGGGCTCTTTCGCCGGCGTTCCTGGTCGTACACCATCCAGAACAGTTTATATCCAGGGTACGGCCAGATGGATTGGAAGCCTGTAAAAGTCAATGACAGGCTAACACTGTCCGCAGCTGTTTTTCGTGTCATTGCACAAGGAGCAGTTACATACGGCCAGCGACAGATGAGCGACTCTGTATGCAGACTGTTTGCATCCAGGGCCTCTCATCTGTACCTAACCACAGGTATTCACTACATGTGCACATACATGTGGACAGCTGTGGAGCCTCTTGATTTGTACAGGCTGAGATAGCTGAAAATAAACACCTGGACTCATCCGCCACAGAAATCCGCTGATCTGGGCGGTGTATGGCCAGGAACATCCAAGTGAATGAGCCCTAAAACTGCCAGATACCGTGTAATGAAAACAGATCCAGATGCCTGGATATGTCCTGACCCTGTACAAATACCCCATTTGAGCCCCAAGTACCAGGCAGACTGACAGCTGATCTGTCACTAAAGTTCCACAATCCTTTTTTACACACAGTAGCGATCAAACCAAATATTTTCTGAATTTGGTTAGTGTTGGATACCGTAGGCAAGGGTTAAAACCTGTTAGGTTTTTTTTTCTATCGCAGTCTGTGTCCCCATTTGTTTTAGCGTCTTACCTGTCCCGGTTGGCACCAGTAACTAGGACAGAAAGCGAAGAGAAATTTAATAACGCTTCTTACACGTCCCCACTTTATAAAAGTTCATTTTTCATTACAATTACAGTTCAAGGAAAGGTCTAAACATTGTTCTAAAACAGTCATAGTTCAAAAAATAAGTACATCTATGTCTTCTCTGTGTTAGTGAAGTTTAGTGTTACTTCACAGGGGAAAATCAAAGGTTTGTATTAAAGCTAAACTCTAGACCAGCATTTCTCAACCTTTTTTCAGTCACGGCACCCTTTATCCCCTTCGCATCAGAGTCACCCTTTGTATCAGTAGCCCCCCTTCACACCAGGAACCCCTCATTCAAATCAGAGTCCCCCCCTTTCACATCAGAGCTTTCCCTTTACATCAAGAGCCCCTTTCGCCTCAGTCTTCATTCCCACCTTCACATTACAGTGCCACTATCACAAAATTTTGAGACACCCCTGAGGCAGTCTGAAGTAAGGCCCCCCTTAAGGAAGCCACGGCACCCTGGTTGAGAAAGGCTGCTCTAGGCAACAGAGATATATATTTATGAACAATCTTAACTAGCATAATGTATGTAATTCTGTGCAGCCAGTTTGTTATTCAGGCACCGACTATAATACAGCAGAGCCTGGGGTCAGTTTACTTTTCTATACTACATGTAAATCATAGTTTGGTCAACAACGCCTCCTCATACTAGCTGTATTGAATGCTGCAAGAATGTGTTTGGTAGGCAGCACGTTCTGTTCTTGCCTTGCATTCAGTAACTGTTTTGGTTTGCTTTTGTATATCTAAAGTGCAATGTCATATCTCTTCATACTACACATAGGATGTGTAGTTTTCTAGCGTTAGAGAAGTCCTGCACCTAATTCAAAAAAGCAATGCGACAGTTCTAATGCTATTACCGACACAACAAATTTAGGTTTAGCCACACTATTACATTTCACAATGGCTGCAATAAATTGTTAAAGAAATACTGCCATTGTGCAGATAGGAAAACTGGCAGTAAAAAAGACATAACGAGGGGGATTTATCAAAACTGGAGCAGACAGAATCTGGAGCAGTTGCCCATGGCACCCATCCACCTTTCATTTTCAAACCTTAACTGATACAAACTGAAGAGAGAAGCTGATTGGTTGCCATAGACAACTGCCCAGATTTCTCTGCTCCAGTTTTGATAAATTCCCCCCTTTATCTTAATTTGTGTTGGGAGTAGAGAAAAGTGGGAAAGAAATACTTCACCCGCATCATTGGTTGTTAGGACGCTGGCAGCCAATGACGCTGTGTGGCGCGGCCAACAGGATCCTAGTAACTAATGATGCTCGGCCGCTCAGCGTCTTTGGTTGCTAGGATGCTGGGGGTCTTGCTGTCTGCATCCTAGCAACTAATGATGCTGTGCGGTGAGGCCTCCAGCATGCCTTGCAACCAATGACGTTTGGTCATACACCATCATTGGTTGCTAGGATGCTGGGGGTCTTGCTGTCTGCATCCTAGCAACTAATGATGCTGTGCGGTGAGGCCTCCAGCATGCCTTGCAACCAATGACGTTTGGTCATACACCATCATTGGTTGCTAGGATGCTGGGGGTCTTGCTGTCTGCATCCTAGCAACTAATGATGCTGTGCGGTGAGGCCTCCAGCATGCCTTGCAACCAATGACGTTTGGTCATACACCATCATTGGTTGCTAGGATGCTGGGGGTCTTGCTGTCTGCATCCTAGCAACTAATGATGCTGTGCGGTGAGGCCTCCAGCATGCCTTGCAACCAATGACGTTTGGTCATACACCATCATTGGTTGCTAGGATGCTGGGGGTCTTGCTGTCTGCATCCTAGCAACTAATGATGCTGTGCGGTGAGGCCTCCAGCATGCCTTGCAACCAATGACGTTTGGTCATACACCATCATTGGTTGCTAGGATGCTGGGGGTCTTGCTGTCTGCATCCTAGCAACTAATGATGCTGTGCGGTGAGGCCTCCAGCATGCCTTGCAACCAATGACGTTTGGCCATGCACTATCATTGGTTGCTAGGAAGCTGGAGGTTTTGCCATCTGCATCCTAGCAACTAATGATGCTGTGCGATGAGGACTCCAGCATGCCTTGCAACCAATGACGCTTGGCCATACACCATCATTGGTTGCTAGGACACTGGTGGCCAGACTAGTAGCTGGATTAATAGAGGCTGGAAACGTGTCCACTGCTGTGACAGAGAAGGGAGAAGGCTTGTAAACATTGCACATTGTAGGTCTGTGCACACTTCAGATAAGAGACCTGTGCAGACTGCAGGCTTTGCAACAAATTCATGCACATGAATATGTCACACCTAGCTTATGTTGCATGGTGGTTAGAATCTCTTCTAAAGAGTGCCTGTGCCACCCTTTATGAACTTGACTGAATGTCTGTATCTTGTGTACATATTGCCTTGGCTGTGTCAGGAAGTAAGGTTGTGAGAGTGTAAGGTGTGACATCAACCAGTGGTCTAAAAAGCAAATGGTAAGAAAGTTGAAGTTAAAGAAAGCTGGCCATATGGAACTTGCCTGTTGTGGATATTTGGAAGTGGAAATAAAGCGATGGACCCGTGTGGTTATTCTCTTGGTGTTTCTGATCCAGTAGTAGTTGAGTAATGTGAATATGTGTTATCTAAGTAACGGGTAGGCAGCCTCCAAAGCCCTAGGATCTCCATAGTATCCTTGGCTCGGGGCTACTCTAATTGAATGTCCCCTGACCCTAATGGAATAAAGTTGTATGTGGACTATTTAATTCCTACATCTAATATGGGACTTGCTGTCTGCTTTTTAGCTTTTGTTTTCTCCTTTTATTCCCTGCGTTTAAAACAAATTTAATCAGCTATACCTGATTTTTCCATAGCCTAACCTCCTGTTGTTGTAATGGCTGCGCTCATACAAGAAGGTGAAGCTTTGTGTCACATGCAGTATAAAAACGCACTACAGCCTTCTATATTTTATGACGTGTGGGTATACATGCACTAAACAATGTCTTTTTTGTATTTTTGCATTAGGTCACTGCTTTTTTATGGAGATATTTTTCCCCCACAATGGTGGTCTTTTCTCCTGCAGGCTATACATAGTCTTTGTGATTTTGTTTTCGTACAGGGATGGTGGTATGTAACTGGGTGGTCATACTCAGTGTCTGCATCACGGTACTTTGTGTATTCGATCCAACCGGAAGAACATTTGTGAAGCTACGAGCAACAAAGAGAAGGCAAAGGAATTTGCGCACATACAACTTGCGGTGAGAAAGGCCTCTTTTTCATCCTTACAAGGTTTTACCATTCCCTATAGGTTTACAGTCCCATTGTTTTCTTCACAGTGTAGCTCATTCTTCAGTATACCCACCTGATTATTCCTTCTCTCATAGGCACCGTCTGGAAGAAGGCCAAGCCAGCAGCTGGACCCGTCGTCTGAAAGTCTTCCTGTGCTGCACTCGCACTAAGGACTCTCAGTCTGTAAGCTTACAAAACACCATGATTACTTTAACAGATTGGATAGCCTGCATCTGTATATAATTTTAGTGTGAGCCTAGTTTGGGATCCTGATTCTTCTTTATTATAGGAAATTGTGCATTCACATTTGTGGATGCTTTAAAATGCATATGCAAATGAAATTTTAGGTCCTTTTTTTTTCTTAATCAGAGTACTAAATGCATGTAGGGAAAATTCAGCCAATTCCCTGCAGAAAATGTATGTAAATAAGCCTCCAAAGGATAAAGGACTTCTGGGTAATTGGCACAGATGTGGCTAAATGGAGTTTGGAAGAATCTAGGCGATGCTGCTTGGAAAGATTTGCAAGTAAACTTTCCCAGACAGAGACCCAGTTTCAAATAATTAAAGCAGAACTTCAGTTCAAACTTTTATTAACCCTTGCAGTGGGGCTACCCCTGCACTGCAAGGGTTAATTGCTTGTCTTAAAAAGAAAAAATTACACTCACCCTAGCCGGCTGGCTCTTAGGCCAGTCCCTGGAGCCTCTCTTCCCCCTCTGCTGCAGCAGTCTAAGGATCCTCAAGTCATCACATCCAATACACTATATTAGATGTGAGGATGCAGAGGAACATGCTATCGCCGCAGCAGAGGAGGACAAGCAAGAGGGAGTGCTGTCCTGTCGGCTTGAAGGACTGGATGTGTATAACTTTGCTATTTTTGACCCTAGGCAAAAACGAGCAGTTAACTCCCACTGCAAGGGTTAAAGAAAGTTTTAACAAGAGTCGTTGTTTAAAGATTTTATTCCTGAGTTTAAACATTTGGTATGTATCGGTATTTGCATTCCAATATTTGCCCTTTGTGATGTTACCCAGTATGGCAGCGCAGAAAATCCATAACATACACTTAGTGGTGACAGGAAACTGGACATCTGAGAGAAGCTGATTGGTTACTTTGAGCAACTGCTCCATAGTCTGTCTGCTCCAGTTTTGATAAATTCCCCCCATTGTTTTTAGTGTCCCCTGTTTCACCTCTGAGCATTCTGTCTCTTGTAGTCTGTTGTGTGAAGCTCGAAAAAGTACATGAGCTTTTTGGGGGACACAATTGGTCCTTTTTGGCCCCCTGGACTGCGTGTTTGCACTTGCTTTTCAGCCGTACCTGTTTAAACGCCTGTGGGGCCAAAAACGCATATTTCTGCTCCTGTCCTACAAGTCGCACAGAAAGCGCACATATAGAAACGAGCCTCTAAATTGGATGGCTGCTCTCACACTTAGGTGTGAATAGGGCCTAGGACTGGACGGTACAGTCTAACATTCTCTTGAAATATGGAGGTATATCCAGAGACCGAACCCTTTTTGTGTTAACCTATTTTTTGAGGTTAGCACAGATTTATGACACTCAACTTAACTGTATTTAGTGCACTAGAGAAAAAGAATGATGCTGATCTAAAGGAGATCAGATCAGAGGACAGTTATGAACGGGTCGGAGTGTCTGCTGTGGTATAAAAATATACATTTATTGAACATAATTTACACACAGGTTAACAACATAGACCATCAGACCGTCACCTGAAAAACCCCTATTAAAATTGATTGTACAATCAAATTGTCACTCGCTTCATGCATATACTAAACACCATGATGGTCTAACAACAGGGTTGAAAGTCAAAGGGATTTATGAACTCAACCTATCAGCCCGCAGAGGGGATTACTATACGGTTCTCCTCCAAAAAGAGAAAATGTGGATCTACAAACTAAACACACTGGCACCCTATGGGTTAAATAATGAGTGCAATCTGCAGGTTTTCCTATAGAGTAAAAGGCTGTGTCCTGAGACTTTAATAAAATTTTATTAGATTAGGCTCATTCTTTTTCTCTACAGTCTAACATTCTACCTAACCGACAGTGCCATTACATTATTCAGATATAATACTGCTCTTTGGGCACTACTGTGTCTGAGTGGATGGATATAGGAGATGCAAATTCCACAGGGTAACACAAAGTACATATTTGACAATCCTGAATCTGCATCATTGTTTTACTGGGTTTTTTATGGAAACTGCCGCACCCCCTGCTGCTCTTACCTGTCAACTGGCGAGCACTTGTTGGACCAGTGAGAGGCACTTCTGACCACGCTGACTGATGAGAAGCGCTTCTTGGCAAGAAGAGCTCCTCACTGGTCAGCTCGGCCTGGTGAGTGCTCGCCATTCGTTAGTGGAATTTAAAATATCACCTGCAGGGCTGCGCTGCTGTGTACAGGTCATACACCAGCAGCCATGGAGGGGAAGGAGCGTTTGATCAGATTGGTGGGGGTAATTCCATTTTCCCAAATTCACCTGGGAAAGTGGAAATACCCTTTAAATCAGGGGTTTGCCAAACTCCGGCCCTCCAGCTGTGGTGAAACTACAAATCCCATGATGCATCTCTCTCCGGGAGTCATGTCTGCGGCTGTAAGAATCTTGCAATGCCTCATGGGATTTGTAGTTCCACCACAGCTGGAGGGCCGGAGTTTGGCTACCCCTGCTTTAAATCATCTAAGACCTTTTCATTTACACAGAGAAAAGATGCTACTTTGCAAATATGTCTTATTGGCTCTGGCACAGGTCCACTTCAATATAAACATCTTTTTGTTTACACTCAGCCTGTCTGTAGCCTGTACTGAATTCAGTGTAGAGAGCAGCTACATGTTTGATTTAAAGGAGAACTATGAGGTGAGTGCTTCTCACTCACCTCATAGTTCTAGCCGACCTGTGACAATGAGACTGTCACAGGTCGGCTCAGTAGATCGGGAGGTGAGCAAACACATACCGGCGTTCGCTCACCTCTCGATCCTGTTACGGCTCTCTGCTGTGACAGGGGAGGGACTGGATTCCCCGCTCCGATCCGCCAGCGCTGACTGGCGGAATGGACGAAGGAGGGGGCGGGTACAGCTGGCTCTGCCTCTAGATAGGCAGAGCCAGCTGTCAGTCACACAGCTGGACGGATCCCGGCATAATTGTCGGGATGCGCTTCAGCTGCGGCGTCTCAGTATACTGCGAGCTACAGCTCGCGGTATACTGAGCCTAGGGTGACGGGAGGACGCTAGTTTGTGTCCTCACGTTACCCTAACGAGAACTATGGGGAAAAGCCTTAACCCCATAGTTCTCTTTTTAAGTGTCTTCAGTTTTAGGACTCCTAAATGGTCATTTCTGTACTTCATTGCACTAAACATTGGAGAGAGAGTTTGCAATCTGCTGAGAGCAGGCAGTGCTTGCATACATTTAGCTAAACCTTACCCATCACATGTGTTCTGGACAGCCAGTTCTGGAAAGCAGAATGGCAATGATACTTATTGTTTACTTGTTTGCAGTCCTTGTATGAAGCCTACTACTCTCTATGCTGTAGAGCGCTGACAGGTTACATATAAACTGTAATGTTTAGATGTGAGCTCTCAAAGCATTGGGTAAGAAAAGATGAAGCTAAGAGGTTACATTTGCAGTGTTGCTTGTTGACACAATGTATATAAAAAAAAAGGGCTAATGTGTTTAAAAAGTACAGCTGTCTTTTAAATGATGTAAGTGCTGTTGGTTCAAATAAACAAATTGAACTTAAAACGACATAGAAGCTGCATCCAGTTCAGTGTATTTTTGTACAGGCAAAATTAAGAAGTGTCACACTCTAAGTAGGTTAATCAGAAAGTTACGTTATATACAATTACTCTCCTTGTGTCTGACCCAAATATGTCTCTTTTTTCCAGGATGCCTATTCAGAGATTGCCTATTTGTTTGCTGAGTTTTTTCGAGATCTGGATATCGTCCCTTCGGATATAATTGCGGGGTTAGTCCTGTTACGCCAGAGTCAAAGGGCAAAAAGGAATGCAGTACTGGATGAGGCAAGTCCTGTCGGAGTTTCCTTAGTCTCACACACTAACAGCGGTCTGGTCATTTCGTTTTTCCAAAGATCATAAATTATTGTAATCGCATTTTTCATTATTTGGTTCAGTAAGATTTATTTTCTCCAGTCATAATATTGGCAGACGTCTGCTTTTTGTTATATGGTTTTATTCTAAGGTCTGTTACATTATTACAGGTACAGCCGTGGTTTCAATTTGTATTCTATTAGACATGTGCCATAGCAGCCCATTTTGTTTTTATTTTCCATTTTAATGTGAGAACCTATCCTGGTATGTTTCTATTTTATGTATTTGTAGTAATCAAACAGATTTTGTCTTTCTTTTATTGTTTATATAGGGATCCATATTTTTATATAGCTATTTTATTTATATTTTTTGTAGCCCGGACGAAGGGGGATTTGTTTGGCCCCTGAAACGCGTTGGTTTGTTTTGTGCTACACTGCTGTGAACCAATATCATTATTAAAAGTGTTTTTGTTCCCTTACTGCTCATTCACACCATCTGCGTTCAGGCCGCACTGGCCCTAATTTCCAGCGCGGACCAAATGCAAGTCAAGGCAATTTGCGGTCTTGCTCATGGGTGGTGATAGATGACTGCCCTGCGCTCCGGTGGTGTATGCTTAAAAAAAGTACGTCATGCAGTAATTTCTTCAAACGCACTGCAGTGAGACCCGATACAACCACATCTCCTCGCGGTGAGCCCAAAGAACTTCATGAAATGAAAGAGAAACAGTGCAGTGCTGCTCAATCGAGAGTATCTGCAATGTCCGGGCACACGCACACCAGCAGTCTTGCGGTTGAGTGCGCCTGTTGGTGTGAACAAGCCCGTAGACTTTTGCTCGGCACTTTCATTGGACTGTATACCAGGGGTAGGCAAACTGGTCCTCAAGCTGTGGTGCAACTACAAATCCCATGAGGCATTGCAAGACTCTGACAGCCACAGGTATGACTCCCTGAGGCAGATGCATGATGGGATTTGTAGATTCACCACAGCTGGAGGGCCAGAGCTTGCCTACCACTGCTGCATACTGTTGGTATTGTTGAAAGAATGGGACTCATTTATGAAAGTGCGATAGAAAAGAACTGATTTTCTGTAGCAAAACGGCAGCCAACGAAATCCTCCCCTTTATTTTCCTAGATCTTCTTATTTACTGCACAAGACATTTGTTAGCCGGCACACTTTCGAGAAACAAGGCCCAATGTGGTGCTTATTTTGTGTGAGTGAAGCATTTTATCCACTGACCTTTACTGTTCTCTGCTTTCAGGCTAATAATGACATATTGGCCTTCCTATCTGGCATGCCAGTCACCCGGAAAACAAAATATCTGGATCTCAAAAATACTGTGAGTATTCATGCCTTGACCTCAGAGAAGAATATTTTTGGAGACTTGTCTACTCATAGAAACTTTTCTCTTCCCTCTCTCAGCAAGAGATGCAACGCTACAAGGAGGTTTGTTATTACATGCTCTTTGCACTGGCAGCTTATGGCTGGCCCATGTACCTCATTAGAAAGCCAACATGTGGCATCTGTCGATTGGCGGGTGCATGCTCGTGAGTAGTCCAGTCATTTCTTGAAATTGTGCTTCCTTTATGTGTTTCTTGCTATTAACATTTGTAACTTTGCTTTTGTTTTATTTGTTTGCTCTTCATTTTATTTCTAATTGAGCTTTTTTATGTTGATATTTGTGTTTATAGCTGTGATTGTCCTATCTGATGAACACACTTTTTGTATCTGCTTTTGTTTCCTCTTTGGTTCTTTCTCTTTGCCCCTGTTAGTAGTTGCTGCTGCCCTTGCTCTTCCCGTCCTCGCTTTGCCCCTGGAGTTACCATTGAGGAGGACAACTGCTGTGGTTGCAATGCAATTGCTATAAAGCGTCATTTTCTGGATGAGAACATGAACATGGTGGACATTGTGTATACGTCATGTCATGATGCGGTTAGTTTTCCTTTCTGTGACTTTTGTGCCTTGCACCGTGTGACGATTTTTAAAGCTTAAACCAAGGCAGATGTAAAAGACACAAAAAAAAAAATTCAGCTTTATATTCCATAATACATAACTAAAACACAACTGCATCTTTGTATAATTGTCTTTAAAGGAGAACTATGAGGTGAGTGATTTTCACTCAGCCTCATAGTTCGAGCCGACGTGTGACAATGAACCGGTCACAGGTCAGCTCTATAGATCGGGAAGTGAGCGAGAGCATACCGTCGCTCGTTCACTTTCTGATCATCTCCCTGCAGAGAGCAGTAACTCAGTGACCGCTCCCCGCAGGGATTCCCCCCCTCCCTGCTCCGATCCTCCAGCGCTGAGTGGAGAAACAGACGGGGGAGGGGGCAGGCACAGCTGGCTCTGCCTCTAGGAAGGAAGAGTCGGCTGTCAATCAGCCAGCTGGGTGGATCTCAACAGCATTGCTGGTTTCCGTCCCAGCTGCGGCGATCTCGTTATATAGTGAGCAATAGCTCGCTATATACTGAGCTTCGGGTCACGGGAGCACGTTAGAATATGTCCTCCCATGGCTCTTAAGAGAACTATGGGATAAAAAGGTTACCCCATAGTTCTCTTTTAATCACCACCGCCTCTTGAATGCACCTCACTGAGACAAATACTTACAAACTTTACTGTATGAAGCAGGGCAGCCTTTCTCCCAAACATGGCTGCTTGCACGTTCAACTCCATTCATTACTATGCAAAAGCTGTACTTCTGGTGGCCTCCGGTGGTTTCTTGGAGGGTTACGTGCTTATCTTGCAGCCGGCTTGTTGTTAAACCAATCCCTGGAGCCTCTCTCCTCCTCCTGCAGCGCTCTAAGGTCCCGTAAATCATCACGTTTTATACACAGTGTATAGGACGTGAGGATGGCGAAGAACATATCATCGCTGCAGTGGAGGAGGAGACAGGCTTGAGGGAGCACTATCACAGCTGGCTAGCTCCGAGGATCGGGTGAGTATAACCCTAGACCAAAATGAGCACTTAATCCTTGCAGTGTAGGGGAAGCCCCAATGCAAGGGTTAATAATAACTTTCCCTGGTGTTCTGCTTTCATAGCTCCTCATGATTGGTGAAAAGGTATAACGTTACTTTTTGTTCTCTACCGGTACCCTTTATTAAAAATACCTTTGTTACAAAACTGTGCTGATCCTAAATTCTGTAAACCAAAGTCATGGAAAAAGTAATTACAGGACAACACGCTTATTATTCTCCAGACCCATTGTACATGTGTAATCTGGACTTTACCTAGTTGCTGCCTCCCAGCATAGTTTTTTTCACACTTTGCCCTACCAAGAACAGCTACAATCATTGAGTGTTATGAAGCAAGACGTTTGATTAGTCATGTCACATTAATCTGCTTTTTGTAGGTTTACGAAACCCCATTCTTTGTGGCTGTAGATCATGACAAGAAGAAAGTGGTGATAAGTATACGTGGAACACTCTCTCCAAAGGTAAAAGAAAAAGTACAATTTAGAGTTCACCTAAACTTGAATGATGTCATAATCCCTTAAAGATATTAACTGACTATTTGTTTTCTTAGGATGCCTTGACAGACCTCACAGGGGATGCAGAGCGCCTACCAGTGGAAGGACACCATGGAACATGGTTAGGCCACAAGGTAACTAGCTTAAAGGTTGAACTCTGTAATATAGTAGTGCTGTGAAAAGAGGAGGTCAGGGAGGAACAGTCAACAATGTACTTGTTTCTTCCAGTTGTGAAAGCTTTTAAAGTAAAACTTTAGGCAAACTGCTAAATATACACAAGATGTGCAGCTAGCGGTGTGAGTTACATACATGTTTTACACCACACAGTGGGAAAGGTGGCATGCATAGTTCTGGATGAGCAAATCTTCTTTGAAAGTCACTTATGCTTAAAAAAAGAACTCTGGGAAAAATTATTCTTAGCACTTGCACTGGGGCTGCACCCCATACCCCAAAGGTTAAGTGCTCGTTTTCAGCTAGCGTGTAAAGTAACAAAGTTATACTAACCTGAACTTCGCAGCCAGCTGGCTGTTAGAGCATTCCCTCAAGCCTGTCATCTCATCCGCTCGAGCCATGGTATGTCCCTTGGAGTCCGCACGTCCAATACACAGTGACGAAAACAAGCACTGAACCCTTGCAGTAGGGGGGTGGCATTCTAGAGAAATAGAGCGTCCCTAGAGTGCTGCCATCAGGAGATTGGACGCTGGCAAAGGTATAAGACATTATAACTCCTCCCACTCCCAATAGGCTCTAGTTTTTGCTTGGGAACTAGGATAATGGATGTCTTCTCTCTCTGAGAGAAGCAAACCCATTTCTTTGACTGTCTTTTGTATCACAGAGACAAGGTTGTCATGATGCCTAAGGCCTCTTTTCTTCCCTAGGTGGTTCTTTCTTTCACCTTAACCAGCACATTGTTCTGCCTTTTCTCTGTCCTGTTCCTAGACATCCTAAGGAAATCTCCCTCCATTGTTTGGATGTGGTCCCTGCTGTTTGAGTCTATTTCTAAGCCACAACTTCCTTTGGACAGAATGACTCTCTTTTCGTCATTTCTGAAGGTCCCTATAGTGAACGGCCCGCTTCTTGTTCCACTGTCACTAGGTGGATTCAGCAGCTCACCATTCATGCCTATAAACTTAAGGACAAGGTTTCCTGTCGGGGCACATTTCATTAGATCACTTGGTGCATTTGTGGGCTTTTCAGCATCAGGCATCTGTGTTCCAGATCTCCAAGTCTGCTATCAGGTCTTCTGTTCACACATTTGTTATGTTTTACCAGGTGAATGTTCAGGCTTATTCTGATGACAGCTTCAGTCGTAAGGTCTCTCAAGCAGCTTTGTGAGCCCTATTGAGCTTCATCTTTTAACCTGTTGTTACTTGTGGGTCTGGCAGCGTTTTGTTTTCTATGTTGCCACTTATCATGAGGAATGCTTTTGGATCTCCTAGTGTCTCAGAGATACTTCACCCTGTGTCTCTTAAGGCGGACCTTTACACTCAAAAATCAAATTCTACCAATGCATCCCTATATGTATGACGATTAATAATAACATAGGCATGTCAGGTGTAAAATACTGTGATTATGAAATACTTACACTTGCAGAGCATTCACTACCTGGTTTGAAAGGACAAAATTACTTCAGTTTGCCAAAACAATGCACACTGGGGTTGCCTTGCCATCAGCAGTGCATTGCTAGGAAATCTCATCTGTAATCTCACGAGATCTCAGTGAAAGGCATTTTCCTCCCCTAAGATGATGTGCATGGTCATATGTCCTAGTCACATGTGCCAGAAATGCTGTAAGCAAAGGAGAGCTAGTAATCTGCCCTTAATAAACATGACCACTATCAAGAGACTGGTATGCAAAGCCGCCAATTATCTAGAAGTATAGAAGTATGTGTTTGTAGCTTTTCATTACTAAACGTTTCTAAAGGTGCGTTTGTTGTTATTTTAAAGATATGAGGAAAGGTCCGCTTTAATGAGTTATTAAGAAAAATTGATTTTTGACTTTCCATTCCTTGGAGTTAATTTAGGGACACATGTCTCACTCATGGCATGGGGTTATACTAAGCTGTTGTACAGTTTTGATTGCTAGTGTCCACTGTCCTGAAGGCATCAGCATAACCCATTATAGCAGAATTACTTCACCCTGTGTCCCTTAAAGAAGTCATCTCACCTGGAATTATTTGTCATAGAACGGTCACCTAACTCCGACAGTTAATGTTGCTTTTTATCCCATGCTTCTGTGGAGTACAAACTGATTACACCACACTCTCCTAAGAATGTAGGGGAGCATAACCCATTATACCAGAATTACTTCACCCTGTGTCCCTTAAAGAAGTCATCTCACCTGGAATTATTTGTCATAGAACGGTCACCTAACTCCGACAGTTAATGTTGCTTTTTATCCCATGCTTCTGTGGAGTACAAACTGATTACACCACACTCCCCTATCCTCCTCCAAGTGCTGCATCGTTTCCTTATATATAGCAACATGGAGGGTAATTGCTACAATGAGGACTATTCTGAGTCCTTCATAACCTTTTTTTCCTTCTCATGTTCGCCATATTGTTTGTGGCCAAAGGGCTGACTTTCATTTCTTTTACACCAAATAATAGGATTGAAGTCGCATTCCATAATTCCCACTCCCTGTACACTGTCAGGCTGTTGCATGTATGTATGTGATTAGATAATACACACAGACAAATCATCCGACTTTACAGGGATATTTCACAATCTCTGTATTAGTCATATATGAGTGAGGTCATGCATGTCTCTCTTACCCTGTGAACTGTAAATAGAGATTTATGAATAATGTACATTTCTCATCCAATTATGTCTTTTTATTTGTGTGCGTGAAATGAAGAATATTTTCTCTATCTTGTGTTTTTTTTCCTATTAGGGGATGGTTTTGTCTGCTGAATACATTAAGAAGAAGTTGGAGCAAGAAATGGTTCTTTCCCAAGCATTTGGCCGAGATCTGGTATGGTAGACCGATTTTAGAATTACACACCTACTGCAGAAATAAAATGATATCAGATTTTATTGTTAGGTCAGGGATTAGAGGTTTACTATTATCTTTTTAAGGTTAGGTTTTATGTAGGAAAGGGTTTAGAACCTTTGTCAACTTTTTTTTGCTGTCTGTGCTTCTTGTTTCTGCTTGTTTCCGGTCTATTTGAAAGATTAATCTCTTCACCTCTAATTTATCTGATGAGTGTCAGAAAGGCAAGTTGGGAGAAATCACACTAGGGACAGGAGTAAAAAACATTTTCTTCGACAAGATTTCATTGGTGTCCTTGCCCTGATTTAGGAAGATTTCCCCTTCCATCATGTTCAGGTGACCATTGTGTTGACACCAATAGACATCTCTATTAACTGCTTGCCATCTGTCCGTTATATATAATTGGATAGACAGCTTGCTCTTTTCAATGGGTTGCTGTATATAAATGGAGTGCGAGCAAGCTAAAAGTGAATGTTTGTGTTTTACTTTAGGAGAGCTTTAGGCACCAAAAAATAAGCACTGTATAGAACACACTGGTGGGGCTCTGAAGCAAGTGGAGCGCTATTAGAATGAATTAGGGAACAAAAGCTGGGAGAAGAGCCCAGGCATTTGACCGGTCATTTATGTGTCCGACCTCTATGCCAGTCACAGAGTTTTCTGTGCAGCGTTTAGGCTGTATAACCATACAAAGCTATGAGGAGGGGTTATTAGAGGATGATGGGTCATTTATTTTGCATTATCTATGGGTTCAAATTTAAGCTTCAGCTTTTTAGCTCTAATAACAGGTTTTTTAACATAGTCATTAAGATTAACCTGGCAAACGTGAGACGAAGCTTAAGGGCTTGTTTCCACCATCACCAGACCAGAACCAGACCATAATGTTTTTTAATTGCACCAGAAATGCATCCCCATGTGTTCCTATGGTATTTAGGACTGTAGTTCCCACCAGCGCAGTCAGTTCCAGTGCCTCAAAAAAAGTACTGCAGCTCCACCTACTGTATGGAAATGAAAATATAAAATGTTCACATTAAATATCTACCTGAATAATAAAAAATCTTTTTTTTAATTGTTTTTTGTAGTCTCTAACATAACACTTCCCTCTAACAAAATGTATTTAATATCTTTTCTTGATTTGTTAGCATGTTGGTTGGGGGGGTTCTTACAAACAGTATCTTTATTTGTGGTTGTATATAGCTTATTACTCTTTTACCATCAGGGACGTGGAACTAAACATTACGGTCTAATTGTGGTGGGACACTCTCTTGGAGCTGGAACTGCTGCCATTCTTTCTTTCCTCCTGCGCCCGCAGTACCCTTCCCTAAAGTGTTTTGCATACTCTCCACCAGGGGGCCTCCTAAGGTACCTGCCAACTATATGCGCATGGAACATCAATGATGACTGTAAAGTATGTTGATGCATTTTATTCAATGTTTCTTTCTCAGCGAGGATGCCATGGAATATTCCAAGGAGTTTGTGACATCCGTAGTGCTTGGCAAAGACTTGGTTCCTAGGTAAAATATATAATATGGCCTTTGTGTTGACTGTTTTGTACAGGATCTATAGCCCTCACAGCTGTTTTCACTTTTCCATAGAATTGGGTTATCTCAGCTTGAAGGTTTCCGCAGGCATCTTCTAGATGTTCTGCAGAGGAGCAACAAGCCAAAGGTTAGCTGTCTGGCTGCATATTTTCCAATGTATGATCATTCCTTCCCTAGTATTAAGACTGTGTTGTAGAACTCCTTCATTTACAGCTTTTCAACTTCTCCAAAATATTTACCGTGAGCCCAGATATTCTGTATTGTAAGTTCCTTTATATATTGCACCATTATCAAATATCTTATCTGACTAGTTTATATATGCTTCAACCCAACCATCTGATCATTTCAATACTGTGTTTGGAACTTTTTTTTTTCCACAAATTGTCCGAAGGACACCACAGGCAGTAAGAGAAAATCTCTTAAAAGATTAGAGAAAATCCTCTCTTACACAGTTGTCACTGTAACAGGTGTGCCTATTGGAAGATTCCACCGTGCCTTGTGATACGGCTAAAGCTAGGGATGCACCGATACTAGTATCGGTGCCAATGCCGAGTATTTTGGCGAGTACTCTCACTCGCCCAAATGCTCCGATGCCTAGCCCGACACTTCCGGTGTCAGGAAGCCAGGCAGCGTGTAATGACACGCTGCCCGGCTTCCTGACACCAGAAGTGGCCGTGAAGCCGGCTCCATGCCTAGTGACGAGAAGCATGGGGACGGCTTTCCTGCTAATCGGGAAGCCGGGTGGTGAGTCTTTACATGCTGCCCAGCTTCCCGGCTAATCAGGAAGCCAGGTTACGAGTCATTACACGCCACCTGGCTTCCTGAATGGGACTTCCGATACTCGGTATTCGGTATCGGCGAGTATCGAAAAAAAAAATATTGGCACTTATACTCGATATCGGTACCGGTGCATCCCTAGTTAAAGCCATAATATTTTACATTTCCAACCACTTTGTGTCCTAGTGACTATGATCAACAATATAGAGTGATATAATTTTTCGATGGTGTAGCGTGTATGATATAATCACACTTTCTATAAAGTTAATATTTTTACAGCAGGCAAAAAATGATCAAATACAAAATTTGCTTCAAGCAGTTGTAACTCAAATCAAATCGGACAAAATAGCACATTTGCATGTCTTACCACAATAAAAATGGTTTACTGTACAAGTAGGATTGAAAATGCTGTGGCTAGGGATGCACCGATATCAAATATCGTACTCGGTACAAGTACAGATACTTTTCGAGCTCCAAGACTAGACTAGAAAAAATGTAAACATTAGGAGGCAGCTGTCATTTGTAAGGAGCATACGGAGCTCCTGGGATTTGTACATCTCTGTTTTAATGTATGATTTTTATTTTTATAAATATAAATAAAGGAATACACAGATACCAGTTTTGCGAGTACGAGTACTAATACTTGCCTAAGTACTGTATTTTTTGCTCCATAAGATGCACTTTTTTCCCCACAAAAGGCAGGCAAAAATGTCAGCGCATCTTATGGAGCGAATGTGTGAGAGCTCCCTCATCCCTATCGCCCGACGCCCGGGACATGCAGTTTCGGGGGCCGGGCGAGTAGTTTTTTTGTACATTTGCTCCTGACAAGCAGAGCTAAATGTATAGTGTGGAGCCGCCGCTCGTTTTCATACAAGTGATCTGATTATCCTGTCCGCCGCAGTTTTCAGGGTGCCTTCGCTCTTCTGGGGGACCCATGACCTTGGCATAGGAGCTCACCAATAGAGCACCTAGAGCAGACGAAGAACGTCCGTTCTTCGTCTACTCTGTATGATCACTGAGACCGTGGCGCTGTAATTTCAGCGCCACCTGTCTCAGCTGTCACTAACTACAGCTGTCAGAACCCTACCCTCCCTGCGTCCTTGGGTCCGGTGCGCCTTATGGAGCGCAAAATACGCTACTTACAAGTACTGATACATTTTTGTTTAGTGTCATGTGTCTGAATATAGACTAATAATATCAGGACAGTGGTGGAGCGCTGGAGCCAGGTCCCTGCTGCAACCGCTGCAACCCTGGTAGTTCTCATGAAAATGGCAAGTATCGGCACTGGTATCTGAAAAGTATCGGTGCATCCCTAGCTGTGGCCTTACATTAGTCATTCATCTTTTTGAAGTAAACAAAAATTCACAGGTTTGTGTGTAAAGGCAGAAATCTCCTAGTTTTATGGACCGCCGCATCATATAAGTATGTTGTTGCATACAAATGGAAAAATCCAAGCAATGTCCCAGATTTCGACAAACTAGCAGAAGAAACGTGTTCTCTTTACAGCTGGTTATAAATTCCTCCCTTCTTTCTTGCTGTTTGTATAGTGGCGGATCATCCTGGGGGGTACAAAGTGTATACCTAAATCAGAACTTCCTGATGAGTCTGAGGGGATACCTGTGCCCAACAACCGTCTCTGGACTCACCCTAGTGATCTGACCATAGCATTGTCTGCCAGCACGCCACTTTACCCACCTGGACGGATCATTCATGTTGTGCACAACCATCCCGAGGAGCGATGCTGGTAAGTTTATGGGGACTTTCGTACAGAATATTGTAAACAACTGTGATTACTAATATTCACCCTACGCATGTTTCCTGTAATACTGGACTTGCCTTTACCTTGTGAAGTTTCTGGGATCAAGAGGAACCGACATACTTTGCCATTTGGGGGGACAACAAAGCATTTGAGGAAGTGATCATCTCTCCAGCCATGCTACATGAACATCTCCCTCATGTGGTGATGGAAGGACTCAATAAGGTAAGGAATCATTAAAATTCCTACAGGGGCAATGTCGGTATGCCTCAGTTTTAAATTAAAAGCATTTACATTGAGCACATTTTGAGTTATTATTTCAGTGTTTACCCTATTGTAATTTCTAACATGACTGTTCTTATATATTTTTGTTAGTGTATTAAATGCAGAGATGTGTAGATTAGCCACTAGAGAGAGTTATCAGTGGCTTTGTGCAATTACTTTGCTTCCTGCCAAATAAAACTATTAAGAGGCTGTGTTTTTTTCCAGTAAAGCTGTCAGCCCTGTTATAAACCTTTTGGCTCTCGCGTCCCCAGTAGGGCTGCAACAACTAATCGACATAATCGATTATAATCGATTATTGAAAAAGTTGTCAACTTTTTCAATAATCGATTAATCGGGTTCCGATTGGTTGGCCCTGTTCACGGCTCCACACACACTGCGCGCCACACCACCTCACGCTCGCCGCTGCCAGACCCGCCCGGCCGCATCCACAAGCAGCACCTCTTCCTTCCTCTATAGCTGGTGGTATTCTGCATTGTGCTGTATAATGTACTATTGCTGGGATTTGTAGTCCTCTATAGCCGGTGCCATTCTTCATCATTGCTGTATAATTTTACACTTTCCATTTCACTATATTGCACACACCAGTTTTTTTTCTTTTCTTTTTTACCTCCACCGCTCCAAGCTTGCTCCTGTGATGGACTGCAATCTCAATACAAATAACAAACTAGTAGTCCCATCACTGGAGCCATTTTTTAAAATTGATTTAATTTTTTATCCGATTAACCGATTAATCGAACTTAATAATCGGCTAACTAATCGATTTTGAAAATAATCGTTAGCTGCAGCTCTAGTCCCCAGTATTCTATATTATATGTGCTGACTCCTGAGCCAATGTCCTCTATACTGCTGTTGGCACCAGAGCAGCTCTCACCTAGTAACAACTAGAAATGCTGCAGCCAGATGCTTAAAAGGCTTCCATTCAACCCAATTATCAACTCTTATATTTTAATAAGATAAATAACTAGGGATGCACCGAAATTTCGGCCGCCGAAACATATTGCCGAAAGTGCCATCTTTCGGCCGAAATAGTAGTGCATCCCTGCTTCCTCTCCTCCCTGCTGGGCACAGCTCTGTGTCACAGAAGGCGGTGCGGGGAGGAGAACAATGTGAACGACCGCTGTCTTTCTCGCACGGCTCAGCCTCCTGTGACAGATCAGGAGAGCGGCCGTTTGTGGGCAGAGACAGCTGTCAATGCAGTCACAGGAGGCTGAGCTCTCCTACCGCACCGCTCAGCCTCCTATGACAGGGTGCGGTGCGGAGAGTGGCGGTGTGGATTTGGATACAGCTGTGAGCTGTCAAAGGAGGTGGGGCGGGGAGGAGTCAGCTGTCATAGGAGATCGAGCTCTCCTCCCCGCACCACTCGCTCAGCCTCCTGTGACAGCGAGTCAGGATGAAGAGCGGGTACAAGCAGTCAGTAATCAGTAATCACTGAGTGCTTGTAAATAATTGAGGACACAGTATGTTTACTGTGCCCCCAATTATGAATGAATGAGAAGTGATCTACATCACGGTAAACATACTATAGCCACAAGTTATAGAGGATTCCTGTTCATTCATAACAGGGCTGCAGAAAAATAGATTGAGGACTCTGTGTCCTCAATCTCTTTTTCTATTTTAAAATGGAAATATCAGGGATCTGTTTAGACACCCAATATTTCCCCCGAAGCCCCCAACAGTAAAGTAAAAAAAACAAAAATATTTAATAAAAATACATTTATAAAAAAATAAATAACATTTTTACAAAATTTGAAATAGTTATAAAAAAAATATTTTCAGTTTCAGCCCGATATATTTTTTCATTTCGATTTTGAAATTTTCGTTACGTGCACCTCCATAAATAACTTTAATCTACCAACCGGTAGTCAAATACGATAGGAATGGTTTAGCAGGTGACTCGCAGTAAAAATAACCTAAACCTTGCCCATTAGCCAACCACACCAAATATATAATCACTATGAAAACCTAAAAGAAATAGTATGGAATTTCACCGTGTCATAATTTTTTCACCTTTTTTATTGTAAATAAAGTTTCACAATCGAAATATCATACAAATTATATGAGAGTTGACTTAATTTGTACTTCAGCGTGTTTTCCAAATTTCTTTTGCCCGGTGATAATTTGGGGAACAGTGAAGGCAGGATAAGGAAAAAGGTACTCTACGGCAAGGAGGAGTGATTCATAGAGCTTTTCCTTATAGGATCATAGTACTAGTGTATGACTTAGTATAGAAGCTTTAGGCACAGTGCTCTCATTTCTTTATTTGATGGTTATAGGACCCACAGTGAGGATGTGAGATCTGCAGGATATTGAAAAAGCACTTGACGGGGAAGGGGGGTTAAAGGAGTAGAAATAAAAGATTTTTCACATTGGTATAGTAGTATATCAACTCGCTTATGAAAAATTGTCATAAAAAGGATTTTGCTAAAATGTTGTTGGATGATGTGAATTAAAGTGTGCACAGCAGTAAAAAAAATGCATAAACCTTTCCTGTTTCTGCTATAATCGATAAAAACATTTCAAGGTGTCAGAAGGAACACTTGTTAAGTGCTTAGCCTTACAGATGTAGTTGATCTTTCTGAGGACCAGTAAACGTTACCTGGTGCTTCTTCCACTATGCCGCTATATGTATGAGTGAACTTGTTCTTTTTTACCATAAGTTGCTTTAAATTCACATTGTGTGCCATGCAGTGGGCTGGGTGCTATTACACAGTTCAGTATTTTACACATACAGTGGAATAATTTTGACCATAGTGTTTGGAGTACGTGGCTGTGCCACCCGATAGACACAAGACTCTCTAAGTCTGCACACCCACACAAACAAGTGTTAGGTCTTTCAATTCTTATGGTGCTTCTGGCATTTACCAGTATGACTGTTTTTTCCCTACCAGGTTCTGGAGAATTATAACAAGGGCAAGACAGCTCTGCTCTCTGCTGCTAAGGTGATGGTTAGTCCAACAGAAGTTGACCTAAACCCTGAGCTGATCTTCCACCAACCTCCCCATCTGCCTCCTCCCACCCTGGAGGTGATACCTGCCATCATGCCTGGCACAAATGCCAACAGGAGGAACAGCAGCACCAAGTAAGCAGTGGGGATGTTCAGTGGTACAGCATACCTATACTATAAGACTATATCCTGTCCACTTGTGGCTGTAACAATTTCCAGTTTGAATGAAACCTTTCTAGCACTTCTGACCATGGTCACCTCCCACATTACCCCTGAAAACAAGCAAGGCCTTCATCCCATCATTGTTTTGATTACTTGTTGGCCCAATATGCCTGTCCAGCCATGTGCAAAGTCACTTAAATATATTTGAATAATTAACGCCCAAGTGTCTGTTGCTCTGCATTCAACCTTGTCTTGTTGTGTGGATTGGAGTGCATGCGTGAGTGATAAAATTGGTGTTTTGCTGGCATGATCTAAAATGCATTTGATAGTAGGGAATGTTGGGAAGCATGGAACGTATTGTAGCTTATTTTTCAGTAATTAACTTCAATGTATTCCACTTCTTAATCTTTTTCCATCTGTCTCACATTTCCTTACGCATGTTTCTTGTTCTTGTTATTCAGGAACCTGTGTGGTGTGGTCTGATTTCTCTTTGCTCGCCTGTGTAATGGACACTATTCTGTCCCTTTTTCTTGCATTACCATGGCCTGTTTGTGTCGTGATTTGTAATCTCATCTGTGAGTTTTTCAGTCTTTTTTTTTTCCCATCAGTCTGTAGTGTGTCTTTTTTATTGTTTACTCACTAGTTGTGTTTCTAGTTTGGTACAGTATGAAATTGCTTTTTCTCCGGAGATGAACTGGTGTAGTATAGATGTCATACACAGGAAAGTATGGCAATAGACATTACTGGGTGAAGGCACCTCCAGCCCCAGAGCCTAGAATACTGGGCAACGCGCTGACTAGAGAGTGCCCTCCATCTGTTTATATAGAATGGGCGGACGGCAAGATTTTTATTGTTTTTTACATGTTAGACCTGAAAAAGGGGGGAGCCCTTTTTCCACAAAATGTATTTATTGTTTGTTTTTTTAAACAATACATGTTGAGGTGCCATTGAAATTTAATGGCACTGCAAGGGGACCTCACAAAGTGCTGAATGGCCCATGCGTTGCGGCGTGCTGCAATACTCTGGCATTGAGGTGCAACTACAATGTTCATGGGGTTCCATGTGAAATGAACAGCATCCCTATGTCCATTACCGTGCATTGCAATAACATGCATTAACACAATGCATAGATGTGAAGCCGACCTTAACCAACTTTATGAATGTCTTATTCAGATTAGTAGTTAGTAGTAATGCTCAGAATATTGGTCGCTTTACTGCACATTACTGCAATGCATTGTAAACAATTCTATTACTACATTAAATATGTACACCTGTATGTGACACCTGTTGACAGCTGTTTAAAATTTTTACTGAGTCCTACTGGCGAGCACACTAGGGGGCGCGCATTAGCAGGGAAAAAAACGCCATACATGTACGACGACCCGCTGACTAGAGAGTGCCCTCCATCCGTTTATATATAATCGGTGGACAGCAAGCAGTTCAATTAGATTTTTATTGTTCTTTACAT